TTAGAGTCTCCAGCGATGTTTTTGGTAAAATTTGACAGAATTGACACTACGCTGTTGCTTCTAAAAGTTGTTTTAAATGACAAGTTTTCAGTGACGTTTGACAACTCCTCACTAGCTTCACCAGCAATATTATTAGTGATATTTGACATTTTGAGTTACTAACTCTCTATTAGCGTCTCCAGCGATGTTTTCGGTAAAATTAGACATTTATTCAGAACTTACGCTTCACTGTTGCCTCTAAATGTCATTTTAAATGACATTTGATGTTTGTTAAGTCTACACTAGCGGCACCAGCGATGAACTAGGTGACATTCGATATTTATGCACAACTTATCTACAGTGTACCATTATTTCCACAATTTAGTCACAGGAACGCTGTCGTATGCTTTACGGAGGTCAACAAACATGAGATGGGTCTCTTGATTGGTTGCTAATTTTTTTTTCGATTAGTTGTTTTAGATAGAAGACATTATCTGTGTCTGAAGTCCTTCCGGCGCGGAAACCGGCCTGTTCTTCTTGTTCTTGTTCCCTATACTCTATATAGTTAACAAGGTTGCAGTGATAAAACTTGTGTGTTTCACATAGACTTAACTCTGTGATGCTTCTTTCTCAGCATATGCTTACATTAAAAACAAATACAGAAGCAAACTTCAAGCATCAAGGCATTTGGAGGGTCAAATTTACAAAGATTTGTAACAATAAAACACTGAAAACTTTGTTTTCAAACTTCCACAAAATTTATTTTAACCTCTTATCACTACAGCTGTTTCGGTTGATTGCCTTTCTCAAGTGATCTATTTTTGGCATGCGTTTACACTTTATAGTCTCTAATGAAATAGGTTGAGGAGGGTAGAACTGTTTGTCTCAAGTTGGTCATTCAGAATTATATGTGTTTTTAATTTGTTGATTTCCATAGATTCTAAAAAGGATCGCTTAACGCCTTTATTTTGAATGTGAAGAATTTTAAATTCGTGATTAAAAGAATGATTGTGATCTAGAAGGTGAAGTGCGTATGTAGAATCTGTTTTTCTATTATTGAAAGCACTTTTATGTTCTGATATTCGTTTATTAAAGTTTCTACCAGTTTGACCGATGTTTGACTGCCTAAAAACTTACATTCTTTACATTCAAAATAAAGGCCTTAAGCTATCATTGTTAGAATCTATGGAAATCAACAAATTAAAAAACACAGATATAATTCTGAATGACCAACTTGAGACAAACAGTTCTCCCCTCCTCAACCTATTTCATTAGAGACTATAAAGTGTAAACGCATGCCAAAAATAGAACACTTAAGAAAGGCAATCAGCCGAAACAGCTCTAGTGATAAGAGTTAAAATAAATTTTGTGGAAGTTTGAAAACAAAGTTTTCAGTGTTTTATTGTTACATAAAATGAATTTCCATCAAGTTACGGTCGAATCCATCAATTATTTACAAAGATTTATAAAACATATAATAGAAACATCATCGAATCAGTTTCATTCATCACATTAAGTAACGATATTTCAAATCAAATGTACTGTATTTTATTGATCTGAAATAAAGTTTATATTGAAATCAAATGAGCCTCAGAATTGTATTTTTTTCATTGTTTGTTGTTTTCCAAATCGCTTCTCAAAAAAATTTGAGAACTATTGCTCTAGTGGACGTTTAACATGTTTTTTTAAGTTTCGTCAATAGTCTCAAACGATGTTTTCATGAAACCAGTCATGTTTTTGTGAGAATTATGCAAATATTTGTATGCATAAGTTTGTATGATATTTATAAAGTATCCAGAAATGTTTTTGCTGCTTTCATCAGTGATATTTTGACATTTATGTAGATCGTACCCGAGAGTTCTGTCTCTAGCAAACAATTTAAGTAAAATTTTGAAAAGCCTTAGGGGAACTTGGGTCACAGTGAACCATGTTACACAGTGAACCAGCAGCCCCCACTCTTTGCCTATGCACTTTATCGCCCAACTCTATTCTTCAAATATCTGCTGGTTTTACGCGACACCTTACTACTTTAGTTCGCATCAAGCTAACATAGTGTGTAGATGTTTATTTCGATATCTGCTGAACGGTAAGTCGAATGCTTTTTTTCACATTGTTGTATTTATTTGTTTTGTTCCAAGCCTGGCGGTAAATTCAGATCAATTATAGTTCCAAGCTACTTAATAGGTCTTTGTACATACTGTTTATCTTGTCTTTCAAATCAATGTAGTTTATTTTTGTTTAAATAAATTTTTTAGTTAAATAGGTGGCGGTGGGTAACAGCGAACCATTGACGAATGGGTTACACTGAACCTGGTTCACTGTAACCCATAATGGTTTACTGTGCAAATGTTATACAAGGCCGGTTGTTCGAACGCTAATCAACAATGATTATTATCAAATATTTAATTACTGTCACCAACTGTCAATGTCAACTTTAATTGGGTTGCTGAAAACATAATAAATTGAGTACAATTATGAGATTAGTGAATCAATTAACATAACAATTATTAACATAATTGATTAACTAATTTCATAATGGTAATCGATTATGTTTTCAGCAACCCAATAAAAATTGACATTGACAGTTGGTGACAGTAATTAAATATTTGGTAATGATCATTTTTGAATAGCGTTCGAACAACCGGCCCTTAGAATGTATGCATTTAATTTCATTAATCATAATTTGGTTTATGATTACGTTTATTTATTGTTTCAGATTCAAAATGCCACGCAACCGAGTTAGAAAAACAAACATTGGCATGCACAGTGAAGAGCAGATGCGAAGTGCTTTAGACCTCATATCGAGAGAAAATCAAAGCATAAGAAGTGTGGCAAAACTTAAAGGGATTCCTTATCCGACTGTTAGAAGATATTGGCAAAAATTTAAAAATACAGATGAACCAATACGGCTAACTCCTAATTATGAAGTGAATAAAATTTTCACAGCCATCCAGGAAGAAGCACTGGCCAATTATATTGTAAAATGTAGCCAAATGTTTTACGGGTTAACACTGCTGGAATGTCGCCAGCTGGCCTACGAAATGGCAATAGTCAACAACGTCAAAATTCCTGAAAAATGGAATGATCGAAAGCTTGCTGGCATGGAATGGCTATACAATTTTAGAAAGCGACATCCCCGGTTAAGCCTTAGGACACCTGAAGGATGTAGCCTGTCCCGAGCTACGTCATTTAACCGACATAATGTGAACATATTTTATGATAAGTTACAAGAAGTTATGTTACGTAAGCCCGAATTTGCTGATGGGACTAGGATATATAATCTTGACGAAACTAGTTCCCTGACCGTGCAAAAATCTCAAAAGGTGCTCGCAGCGAAAGGACAAAAACAGGTCAGCAAAGTCACTAGTGGTGAAAAGGGAACATTAGTAACAACCTGTTGTATCGTCAATGCTTCCGGCAATTTTTTACCACCAGTCATGATTTTTCCTCGTGTCCATTTTAAGCATCACATGACAAATGGGGCTCCCACCGGAACGTTAGGATTGGCGACACAGTCTGGGTGGATGAATAGCACACTATTTGTAGACACGATGGAACACTTTATTAAATTCTCAAACACTAGCAAAGAAAACCCCAGCTTACTGATAATGGACAACTTTGAAGCTCATATTTGCATAAAAGCCATTGAATTGGCAAAGGAAAATGGTGTGACAATATTAACAGTTCCGCCTCATTCTACCGGAAAGATGCAACCCTTAGACGTTTGCCTTTATAAACCTTTCAAAACTGCTTACAATGCAGCTGTAGACAGTTGGATGATGCGGAATCCAGGAAAACCTCTAACAATTTATGAGGTAGCTGCTTGCGTTGGGGATGCACATATGAAGGCAATGACTCCGTCAAATATTTGTAGTTCCTTTAAGAATACCGGCATCTTCCCGTACGATAGAAATGTTTTTACCGACATAGACTTCTTGCCAAGTGAAGTTACTAACAGGCCCATTACTGAAAATAATGGGAATACTCCAGATGGCCAAATCTTCAATTCAGAAAATCCACTGGCAGTCGGAGCCGAACATAGTAGAAGTAGAACTCCTGACTCTGAGGCTGAAATATCTTTGGAATTTGTAACTCCGGATCAATTTCGAGGGCTGCCAAAGGCTGGGCCGAGAAAAAATACCAGAAAACCAAGACGAAAGGGTAAATCTATGATAGCCACGGACACCCCAGAAAAAATGGAAATTGAGGAGCGCGAAGCAGAAAAGCAGAGAAAGAAGAAAGCGCATCCCATAAAGAAAAAAGTGTTTCAAGAACCAGAAGATACAACAGATGAAGAAGATACGTTCAGTGTTCATTCTGAGGTAGAAGACTATTATGAAAGCGGTGATGAGGAGAATATTATGACCTCCGACTCTTTTAATCCATTAGAAAAATTACCCAGTGAAGGAGACTATGTGTTGGTTGAATTCAATGGGAAGAATGGTAAAGTCTATTACGTTGCTAAGGTATTACAAGAGGCCAAGGAACAAGAAGTAGAAGTAAGTTTTTTAAGAAGAAACTATAAAATGGAAAACACATTCCGTTTGCCAGACGTTTTAGACGTATCTCCGGTTGCACTGTCAGACGTAAAATTGATATTACCAAAACCAACTATTTGTGGGAATACTAAACGACAACAGTCATTCTATTCATTCAAATTAAATTTTACTCAAATAGATATACGCTAGTTTGTACTAGTAGTGAGTTATCAAAGGTTTTGCTATATCATGCGTTTTCTTTTCTCCAAGAAACCTGCTGATTCTCTGTACCACCATTTGGTTCATTGTTACCCATAGCCTGGTTCACTGTTCACAAGGACGGGGGCACACTGAACCAAGTGACGCTTTGAAAAATATATATTTTAACTAGTACCAAACATCTGGTTATATCATGTTTCACTTATGAGAGCAGAAGTTCGTACCTTATAGCATTCATCATCCAAATTTCAGACATATATGCATATTTTTTCCTGAGTTACACCACTCCAAATAAAAAGTGGTTCACTGTAACCCATTCTCCCCTACTCTGTATTAGCCGATCTATAGTGGAAATCAAAATGGATAATCTGTATTGAAATGTCCTAATTGTTTTGTGATAAGTATTCTTTATGAAACGAAGTTTTTGCCTCATATAAGTATTAATGACAACGATAAATAATTCATTACTGTAATAAATCCACTTATGAGATTGTGTTATGACTTTTTTGATACTAATGTCTTAATTAATAAAAAATTACCAAGAAAGTTTTAAAAAAAAGTTCATTTGACCAAACTTTCAGACGATTATTGTCTTTTGCACATACAAAACGACTGCCCCCGCTCATACATCGAGGAGATCAGAAAAATCAATAGGTTAGGTATAAAACTGTTCTAATTCTAAATTAACACTCGAATAGAAAACCCTGTACAAAAAATATAAACCTAAAAATAGAACTAGAAAATAAAATAAAAACATTGACTTGGCTCTTTGAGTAGAAAAAGAGGCGGAAACGACTGTGATCCTCTATGTAATAAGTAAAATGTTAGAGGTGGGCTCAATCTTTCAAGTTATTTTCAACGATTCTTCTGGATTCGGATTGAGTTTATTTAATTTTTTTACGTTTTTCCTTGTTTTTGTTATAAATTAGTGAATGAAGATGAAACAATATTTCCAGTTCAATAAATGCGGATAGTTTCTAATATTTGCAAGTTTTGGTAAGCTTACTGTTAGCTATTTGTAAATAAAGTGACTATAACGTACTTCTCTCGACATTTTCTAAGAAAATATTTTACGTAGAAGACCAATAAGAAAGACTGGTTAAGATAATTATAAAACTGTAACTTCTGACTTTTAAATAATTTGTTAAGCACGAAAAGCTAATAAATATCTTGTTAAACAATCTATTTGATCGTTGCCACCTCTTGCTCTACAATCAGTAAAACAGTTCTCCTTCATCCTACTATCTGATCATCTCCAAGTATTTCTGCTTGTGTTTGGCCAACATTTCAGTAACTGTAACCAAAGTTTTGATGTTTGAGTTGAGTTTGGCAACCGCCTGCAGTTCGGTGAGATGGGCGACGCAGATGTGATGTAGCGTTGCTAGTTCTTTGGCACTGTCGGGGACGTTGGTGACGCGAGGTTCACCGGGGTCTCCGACCATGGAGAGTTGGTCGAGGAAGACCACCATCCGTTCTTTGTTTTTGAGTATAAACGGATTGACGACTTCCATGTAGGGCTCCTTCCCGCCGAATTCGACCAAGTTGGCGAGATTTTGAAGACATTTAGCTACCATTACTAAACTTCTCGTAGCTGCTGGGGTTGGTTGTTCACTGACGAGGCCGAATTGTCGAGGATTCAAGAGAGCTGGACATAGAAGTCTTAGGAAGATGAAACCTGAAACTACGCGAGTACGGACGAACCGTTCGTCCGCCCATTTTGAGACGACTGCCTTTTGTAAGCAGCCACAGATATACCGTACGGATCTAGGACAGGCATCTGGAGACATGAATATGCTGAGTGTTACCTAAAAAAGAATTAAAAAGGCTATGCATATACGAAACTGTTCCCTATACATCACTTACCTGATCCAAAATCTGTAATAAGAATTCAGCGTTGTTACAAGCATCATCCAAGGAATCCATTTTGGCCGGATTTAACTCGGCGCTTTGTTTGCTCTCTAGTAATCTCAAAACTGTTTCCAGCACAGCTGCCTGTAGGAAACCCCCACACTCTGCTTTCATATACAGATCCATTAGTGTTGTTGCTAAGGAAGCTGCTCTGAACAAAGTTGACGTTTCTGTTTCCCTCAGAATCTAAATAAATGTATTATATATAATACTCATCGATAATGGACCAAAACAGTGTAAAAAATAATACAGAATTATATATTGCGAAATTTTACATACCTCTGCAGTATTGAGTTCACGTAACAGTTCAGTTTCCCTTCCTTCCGCTCTAAAAACCCGTAATAGAGCCGTAGCTAACGGAGCTCTATCGGAATGACAAATTTCTGCTAAAGTTTTAACAGATACCAAGCCAGGTTCAAGCAACAACTGTTGTAGCGGACTGTATTCTTCACCTGGCATAACTAAATCATGCAGATACCTATAAAAAATACATACAAAACACTTAAAGATGATCGTTAATGTATATGAGAATGCCGTACCTTGTTTTAAGTCTTAGAGAGCCCCATTCACCCATCGGCGTTAATCCCGACAAGGTGTACCACTCTTCTCTCTCCTCTCCATTACCTAAGGACGATAGTTCTACGTGAAGTTCGGCTACTTCCTGTTCTTTCCCTCTCTTTCCTTTATTATGAACAGTTAGGGTGAATGACACAATATCACATGGCACGTCGCTTTGAACAAGAAAAAGAAAATATAAATTTACGTATACGTCATATGACACGATATACGTCATACGATTTTAACGTTTTGTGCATGTAGTTGCCAGTATTGTCAGTTAGTAAAGAATGGTTATAATTATGAAATGATGAAAATGTAAAGATTTATGTATTATGATATCTTAAAACTCTAATAATATTAATTAATATACAGTATACTTCCTCTATAATGAACCAGTTATTACGAGGTTTCGCCTATAACGAGGTACATTAGATGTTCCGTAAAATTTCTTTTACACTAAAACCCTCTATAGCGAGGCAAATTTGGTTATAATGAGAGAAAATAAGATCGACAAAGGTGTTTTTTGCGTTTTTGGTCCGGCTGTGGTTATAAATAAATACCCTTTTTAACTGCCGCCCTCAATAAACGTAGCTGTCGCCGCAATAAACTTATTAACAATAAATACAACTATTTCACAGCTGTAGAAAATATGATAGATAGAATAATTACTGGACAATTTAAAGCAGTCAAAAATGACAGACTTCTTTCGATTGCAGAAGCAATAGTTTATGTTATCCTTGAAAATACGTTTTATACAGATTTTTTTGTTTTAACGTATATCATTGACAATAAAAGTAAACAACTCTCTTTTGTTTTAATGTATTTCATTGACGATAAAATTAAATATTTTTTTCAAAACGCCATTCAAACAATATTTAGCATCTTATATTGCTCTGAATGTCTTCACTATAGAAAGGTAATGTTTTAGAAAACATAATGTATGCACAGTATTATTGTTGTCTGATATAACGAGGTCGGCTTATAACGAGGTAATTAGTCTGCCATTTCAGTTCTCGTTATAAAGGGAGTCTACTGTATTTTATTTAATCAATTTATAATAGTGTATGACGTTTAAGGGTTTACGTATACCTAACGTTTGCTTAATTAATGCAATTTATTAATCAAAAAGACGGTTAAATTCCTAAAAACTTAATGATAAAAATCAAATTAGCACAAAACAGTTCCCGAAGATCATTTGCAGTCCATGGAAGATAAGCAGGCGTGCTATTTTCTCAATAAAATTTAATGCTATTATGGTCGTTTGAGTACTCATTTCTTTCAGCCTTATACAGCGAATTTTTATCCTTGCCTTTGTGTAATCGGTTATTTAAAAAACAAATAATATAAAAACTTACTCGAAGACGAATTCCTCATCCCATACCGGATCGGGACCCGACTTGGTCCTGGTCCTCGCAACTCTGACCTGATTGTTGAGTTGAATGGTAACATAAGGTTGTGGCACTAGTTTATATGGTAATCGATGTGCGTCGATGATGTGTAAGGTTAAACAACGCAGTTCCCTCAATCTTGGCACTTTGGAGGTGGCTTTGCTCAGTTGAGGCACGCACAAGGGTTTCAGGGCGTTCACCCATTCTTGACAGTCTTCTGTAGATCTGGCAGCGAGATGTGTAACGGTAGCTAGGCATGGAAGAGCTCTTTCGACTAGTTGGAGGCAGTGGGAGCGTTCCCATAGACTGTCGTGGACCTAAGACAATAGATTTTGACGTTAAATTTTGCGCAGCATTACAATATTACTAGGAATATATTTCAGTTTCATAAATAGTGTCATTTCAAGTATATTGAGCAAAAATGTTGATGGAATATCCATCATATTCGTCAGATTTAGTCTCGTGTAACTATATGCTAGTCCCAAACTTAAAAACTGCCAAAAAGAACGCCATTTTAAGACGAATAATAAGCTCTTGGTAAAAAGTTCACAGTAGTAAGGTGAATTCGAGAAAATTTCTTTTCGGGAATGATCAAAAAGTTGAAAAAGCGTCATATCAAGTATATTGGGTGAAAATGTTGATCGACTACCAACTATATTCACCAGATTTAGTCCCGTGTTAATCCCAAACTTAAAAAACAACAGAAGAACGCCATTTTACGACAGATAAGGTCTTGGTCAAAAGTTTACAATAGTAAGGTGAATTCGAACAAAATTTCTTTCCAGGAAGGATCAACAAATGTCATATCAAGTATTTTGAGCGAAAATGTTGATAAACCATTCACCATATTCGCCAGATTTAGTCCCATGTAATTATGTGTTAGTCCCAAGCTTAAAAAACGGTCAAAAGAACGCCATTTTACGACAAATGAGAAGATCTTGGTCAAAAGTTCACAATAGTATGATAGATTCGATAAAAATTTCTTTCCAAGAAGGATCAAAATGTTGAAAAAGTGTCATATTAAGTTTATAGAGCGTAAATGTTATCAACTATCCACCATATTCCCCAGATTTAGTCCCATGTGGCTGTGTTAATCCCAAACTTAAAAAACGGCCAAAGGACGCCATTTTAAGATGAATGATAAGGTCTTGGTCAAAAGTTCACAATATTAAGGTGAATTCGACCAAAATTTCTTTCCAGGAAGAATCAAAAAGTTGAGAAAGTGTCATATCAAGTATAGTGAGCGAAAATTCTGATCGACTATCCACCATATTCGCCAGATTTAGTTCTTTGATTTCTAACGCGAGTTTTTGGCAATTGCTGAGCAAAAAATATTAAATTATGCTGCCATTGGAGAGAAAATTAAACACTCTTTAAAATAATGTGCCACTTGACACCCTTCTCATTTAAAATTGAAAGAGAAACATTCTCCCTTGCTAGGGGGAACTTTTAGCAAGAAAAATCTCGATCTTGAAAATAAAATGGAACTTTCGTTCCGATTCTTCATATTATTTACGGGAATGAAGTGGAAAATTGAGTAAAATATTCAAATTAACACCTCATATTAATAATAATAAACAGGTAAAATTAAATAAAATTTGGCAACATCGCATCCATTCTACCACAAAACTCATTTTCAACAAAATCTAATATTTTTCAGTCTAAAAGTATACGCAAAATAAATAGAAAACATGAATCAAACAATCGAAAACAAGGATTTATAAAAAGTTCTGATGGCAAAAAACTCAAGTAGATAACACAAACGTCACTCTAGTGTACCCGATTTTAGCGAAAGACTGAGAAGTGAGAAAACCGTTTTACCGAGTTCGGCGTAGTTTTATGTAAAATATTGACAATTAGTAAATAAAAGTATAAAATATTGTGTAAGATACAATTTATATTTCAAATAACAGTGATATTTACTGAATCGACATTGATTTTACATGGAATGAAAAACACAATAAAGACAATCTGTCTGGTAAGTACATTTTCTTCAAAACATTTTATTTATTAGAAATCGTTAATACAATTTTTAAGTTTCTTGTCAAAAAATGCAGTTGATGTTACATGATATTCAATGAAAAGAGATATTGTTGTTAATTCACTACCAAGCTAATTGTTAGAAAAATAATTTGATAAGAATCCAACTTAATTTAAAATGAAATATGAGTTAACAGCAGTCAAGATTTTGTTTAATTAAACAAGTTTAATTAAAATTTAAAAATTATTTAGGATGGGATAAGGTAGTGTTATATACTTGGCAACACAGGTAGGCAACACACGCTCACTGACACAACGGAATGAAGTTAGTTAGTTATTAGGCAATAAAGGTTAATGATGTAAAACCACGTTTTATTATTAATTATTACCTTATTTAAGTAAGAAATACCAAATACACAACAATTGGCGACGAGGATGGGATACATATGATGGTAATTACGACTACTACCATTGCTACTTCAACTTCAAGTACAGTTATTTACATTATTATTATACTACATCCCCAATTATGTCTACACAAGTATCTACATTTCAATTTTCCGTTGAATCTTTCAACCAGTCTGCCACCAAATGGTCCAGGTGGGTAAAGAGGCTGGAAGGTGCTTACAAGGTATTTAAAATTCCAGACGAAATGAGATTACCTTATCTACTACACTACATGGGTTCTGAGGCCTACGACACCCTATGCGACAAGTTAGCCCCAGAAGTCCCGGAAGACAAGTCATACGACGACATTGTCAATTTAATGGATAATTTTTACAACCCTGCACCCCTGGAAATTGCAGAAATCTTCAGATTCCAATCAAAAAGGCAAGCCGAAGGAGAAACAATACAAGAATACCTTCATTCACTACAAAAGTTGTCAATTAACTGCAATTTCTCTACATATCTTAAAAGTGCTATAAGAAACCAATTTGTTTTTGGCCTACGATCGAAAAGAATACAAGCTAGACTTCTAGAATCAAAAGGACTGGACCTAGATAGAGCCGTTGAGATTGCCACAAGCATGGAGGCATCAGAAAAGGACAGTAACCAATTTTTTCATAATCAAAATTATAATAATTCTAGTGTCAATATGTTAAATGCAAAAGCAAGGAGTGCAAATAATAATAGGATGCAATTTCAGAATAACTCTGCTGCAAATTCTTCAAACACAAATAGTAATGTATGTTATAGATGTGGAGATCCTTCACATTTAGCAAATTCTTGTTCAAAAAAACATTTAACTTGTAATTTTTGTAAAAAAGTTGGACACATTCAAAAAGTTTGTTTCAAATCAAAAAATGTTAGGTCTAACCAAGTAACTTCAGTTTGCTCAGTTCAAGAAATTTTTAAGATTAGTACTGTAAATTCAAAAGACAAATTTTTTATAAACTTAAGAGTAAACAACAATATTTTAAAATATGAAATTGATTCAGGTGCTGCTGTTACCATTGTAAACAAAAATGTATTTGACACATATTTTTCTACACTACAATTACAGAAATCTGATGTAAAATTAACTACATACTGTAAAAATCATTTAAATGTTTTAGGGTTAATTCCAGTGGAGGTTGAGCACCAGGGAATAAGGCAAATGTTAAAGTTGTACGTGGTGGATGGTGAGGGTCAATCACTAGTTGGAAGAGAATGGATACGTGCCCTTGGAATTAAACTACATGAGGTAAATACAATATCACATGAGAACTCTAAAGTTTCAAGTTTATTAGATAAATACAAACATTTGTTTGAAAAGTCAATTGGTGAAATTATAGGTTTAGAAGCTGAAATTCATTTAAAACCTGGTAGTATAGCAAGGTTTCATAAGGCTCGCCCAGTTGCTTTTGCATTACGTCCTAAAGTGGAAGCTGAGTTAGAGTCGTTAGTTGATCAGGGTGTTTTACAAAAAGTAGAGTTTTCAGATTGGGCAACCCCAATTGTCCCAGTTGTCAAACACAATGGGGACATACGCATTTGTGGGGATTTTAAAATTACTTTAAATCCCTGTATTGAAGTGGACGAATATCCTTTACCTACCCCTGATGATCTTCTATCTCAGTTAGCAGGGGGCGATAAGTATTCAAAAATAGACATTACAAAAGCTTATTTGCATTTACCTATAAAAAGTGAAATGAAACATTTACTTACACTTAATACTCACAAAGGTCTGTACCGCCCAAACCGTTTAATGTTCGGTATTGCAAGTGCTCCTGCCAAATGGCAACGTTTAATGGAACAAATGTTACAAGGAATAGATGGTATTTCTGTGTTCCTAGATGATATAAGAATTACTGCCCCAAATACTGATATACATTTACAAAGACTTGAACAAGTGTTACAAAAATTATCTGAACATAATTTACATATAAATTTAGACAAAAGTGAATTTTTAAAAGACGAAATTGAATACTGCGGATACAAAATAAATAAATTTGGTATTACTAGTAGCTCAGATAAAGTAGATGCAATTGTAAATGCTCCAATACCAGAAAATAAAACTCAAGTCCGAAGTTTTTGTGGGTTAGTTAATTATTACAGACGTTTTTTACAACATACCTCTACAATATTAAGACCTTTAACAAATCTACTTAAAAATCATGTTGAATTTGAATGGTCCCGAGATTGTCAAATGGCATTTGATAAAGCCAAAAGGCTTATTTCTTCTAAAAATGTTTTGTGTCACTATGACCCAAATTTGCCATTAGTCCTTGCAACTGATGCATCCCCTTATGGTGTTGGTGCAGTACTGTCCCATATTTTTCCAGACGGTACAGAAAGACCGATACAATTTGCTTCTCAAATGTTAACCCTTACACAGCAAAAGTACTCTCAAATAGATAAAGAGGCATACAGCATTATTTTTGGTGTGAAAAAGTTCTTCAATTACCTATATGCTAGAAATTTTATTTTATACACTGATCATAAACCTTTAATTCAGATTTTTGCACCAGATAAAAGTCTACCAGTTTTAAGTGCTACAAGAATGCAGCATTATGCAATTTTCTTACAAGGTCTAAAGTATGATATTCGATACAAAAATACAGATTCTCATTTTAATGCAGATGCTCTTTCACGTTTACCTATTAAAAATGAACAAAATTATACTCATGATGAACCAGACATATTCGAACTTAATCAGATTGAAAATTTACCTACAGATGTTAACAGTTTATCTTTTCATACCAAAAATGATGCTACTTTACAAAAGTTACTATTAGGTTTACAAACTGGTGAGGTTGTTGAAAAACAATTTAGATTTAACGTAGATCAATCAGAGTTTTCACTACAGTCTGGAGTCATAATGAGAGGACAACGAGTTTTAATACCTATGAAATTA